GCTTAAGGCTAAGGCTAACATCAACAGTCACGCCCTGACCCCACGGTGTGGGGTCGGCGGATTCTTTGCTTATGGAAGCAAGTAGTAGGACATGTCAGATGCAAGGGAGCACAGCAGTTCAGGGCAGAATTTGAGTGTTTGTGGAATCAGCCGTTGTTCCTTTTGTTGGACACCTTTGGACACTTTTCACTCGCACCCGGCCTGTTCTTGATAAAGCGGATACTGCAAAGTTTTGGTTGCCCTTAGAGTGACTGATAGATTTTTACAATTTGTTACAGCTGCAAGTCAGATGACACTCTGGTTTATGTTTCAAACAACTTCGCGCGGAAGGACATCTCAGACCCTGCAGTACACATCGTCAAGGAGGCTATTCAGCCCAAAGTGTCCATAGCATACCAGTCTCTTGGTGGACACAGCGGCATTGCTTCCAGTGCTGCAACCATCGATACGGAAAGTGCGAGTGACACAAAGGAAAGTGGTGTTCTGTCGGAGCGGAGATTCTGGGGGCACACATCAGTATTGTTCGAGGAGGGGCACCTCCCCATCACATGTCAGCTTTGCCCCACGCTACAGAGGGAGTGTTTTTTGTAGGGGTGGTCACAGTCACAGTTGGGAGCATGCAAGGTAGTGGCCTATCAAGAGTTCATTATAAGGATGTTCTGTTTTGTAGAGACTAGGGCACATACGATTCTTCTATATAACTCATGGTGCAGAGTTGGGAGACAAGAGGGAGCTAGCAGCTAGCATTCTTTGGTTCACTTTGAATTGGACCAATGAAGCAGCCACGTTCCTGATGGCAAATCCATCCTGCACTTCAAGGGTCCATCTACTTGAAGGGATTGCCATGGGTGGGATGATTTAAAGAACATAGCCACAGACATTTATGACATCCGATGATGGGCATCTTTGGCAGTTTGGGGATTGATTTGACCGAAAGCGAGCACCTGAACGCATCTCGGTCCTGATCAGCTTGCAGGCTTGCTCGTGTCAGATATCAGATATTCATTGAACTGCTCCGCCGGCTCCCTAGTACCCGGTGCTGAGGTTAATGTCCGCTGCACAGATTCACAAAGTCATCGGTCCATTGCTGGACGGAGCCCTGCAGAAACATTCGAAGGTGGTGATACACTTCATCCATGGCCGCTCGGCTTCAGATCGAACCGGTGAAGCAACGCAAAGACACGAAATCCTTCACGAAATCAAAGCAAGTCCGAGCTTCTAGGAACCAAATGAATGGTGCGAGCGTGAGCCATCCTACGTCCAGTTACTAGGAGCTTACTTACTGTAATGGCTAAGAACAATAAAAACACCATCAAAGGACCTCGGATTCTCCCGGTCCTAGCTAAACTGTGTCCAGGCGACACGACCGCTAAAAGCGTTGACACTTGTCGCAGATCGACAAGACCGGAACAGAATGCGTCATAAATAGACATAGAACATGTGTCAGATGGCGAAACAGGGTTCCAAATCACGAACAGAGCAGCACAGGCAAAGACAAGCAATTCTGTCACTATAGTTCGGTATCAACCGTATGCCAACACCAGCAGCAGCTACATGATAAAGGTGAGCGGTTTGAAAACCAGATACTCTTTGTGCAAGACTCCCTTGGACAAAAATATATTCCACGTTAAGGGTGAGAGTTGTCATCCGTCTCAGTGCCATGTCAGGCTTATCTAGCAACCTAGTATATATATATATACTTATATAGAAGTACATTGGTTGGAATGACACTGTCCCTCATCTAAGAAATAACCTGAACCATGCTCTCCCTGAGGTATGTAACTCTGCCAACCCCAAGGGACTACCAACTTGTCCTTCCAAGACACCTTCAGAGCCACTGACTAGTTGCTAGATAGCGTCTTTTCACGGGTCGCACGTTGAAATCAATCCCAGATCCACCTCTGGACCAAGGTGATATCGCCAAATACTATGCTGATTTCTTGAAGGGTCGGCCACTGGAGGTGTCCCGATATGTTTCAATCGTTTTGGTCATTGTGTTTTTCCTAACTTTCTCCCACGAGCAGTCCACTGGAGGTGGTGACCAGTCAGATTCTACTCCTTGACATCGACTTGCCAAATATGTAAAGGTTCTCAAGCCAGTAACCTTGAGTCTTGGTGGTCTTGATACGCCAGGGTTTGCGCGTGTTGAGCCAAACCCAAATTTGACATGACAGCAAAGCACCTGGACAGAGCAAAGCATGTCATGTGAAGATTTTTGCGTCCTTGCTCCTAGCAGCGATGGCAGGAGCCCCTAGTAGCTTCTTGCTCCTAGTAGTAAGGCCAGGAGCCCCTAGTAGCGTCCTTGCTACATCTTGCTACTAGTATTCATATTATTGAATAATCCAAATCCCTTGTCTGGCATAGCTCTTAGAGGTCCAGGACCCAGGGATGGCGGAGCCTCGCTGATGAGGCCTTCGAAGCACACTCCTCGGTGAGCAAGAAGGCGTCGTCAACGTGTGTCACCGTGAATTTCCCTGATTGTTGAAGGATCCGTCATCGCTGGGTGCCAACGGAGACCGAGAACAGCGTGTAATGAAACACCTGAATCAATCCCTGAAGGTACTTGGTTGATATTTAAGCTTAATCTCCATGGGATTCCAAGGGTAGTAATCCTTTCTTGGGCAATCCCCACAGCAACATTGCCAGATTTATGTTCAGCTAGGCAACGTAGCTTCAGAAGCACTATCTCATCCCTCAGGAGTGCAGCCGGAGCTACCAAGTCTGAGTAATCAGGCACGCAACTTGATGCGGTCAACCAGGTTGTCCTGCTGCTTCTCACTGTTTTCAATCTGGAGCACCCTGGTCGCCACCAGGGTTGGTTCTGTGGTTTTTTCTCGCCGCGAGGTGCGAAAGAAGATCTTACAAAGCTTCGAGTCGGCCGCAAGGGGTGCCCTCTTCACAGCAGGCACAGCACGGTTCTGGCGAATTCGCCTCAATATTGCAACCTGCCCAACTATCAAGACATTCCATATATTGATGTGAGAGGAGAAAACATGTGGATATTCATGAAGTGAGGTGAGATGAGAGAGTTCAGATATAGTTGCACCGCCACTAATTCTGGTATCCAAGGGGTGTTGTTCCTGCATTGCACTAGGTCTATGCTAGCACAAGCAGAGCAAGAGGTGTTTTCGTGGGTGTGCACGGGTGGCTTTCTTTCAGCGCCGGTCACACTTGGAAGATCGTGCGGTCGTGCTAGGTTTGTGCTAGACGTGCGCAAAACGTCTTCGAAGACCTTATCATTTGCGCACTCCCAAAATGTATACTTAGTATACAGTATACTTACACAAGCACAGAAATCAGGTGCAGCAAAAAGTAAATCAGTGCCAGCTATATGGCTATATGTATAATTCATTACACATTTATGCTCATCTATGCGCGCCCATGATGTGTATACCTGCGGGCCAACAATTTGAACACTGCCTTGGATTAGGGACAATGATGAATTGAATCTATAGGACAATGACAATGATCATTGTCGTTCCTTTTTCCCAACTTGTGCTACCTGCAAAGGCACAAGCCTGTCGAAAGACATGCGCTATAATCATTAAGAACACCAGCTACGCACCCCTGATCATTCCACTAAAATTGGAACGATCGGCAGGGCACACTGTAGAACGCTTGGCAGGATGGGTTGTGGCCGCTTCACATGTCTATCCAACAGCCCGCTTCGGTTCAGATGGCATGTGACCGTGACCCGTCGCAAGTTGTACAAAGGAGCGCCCCTAGTAGCATCCTTTGCTCCTAATAGAAATGCCCTTGTTACTAGTAGCTTCTTGCTCCTAGTAGTACGGCCAGGAGCTACTAGTAGTGTCCTTCCTCCTAGTAGCGATGCCAGGAGCCCTAGTAGCTTCTTGCTCCTAGTAGTAAGGCCACAAGCCCCTAGTAGCGTCCTTGCTCCTAGTAGCGATGCCAGGAGCCCCTAGTAGCTTCTTGTTCCTAGTAATAAGGCCAGGAGCCCCTAGTAGCATCCTTGCACCTAGTAGCGATGCCAGGACCTAGTAGCATCCTTGCTCCTAGTAGCGATCTCAGGATCCCCTAGTAGCTTCTTGTTCCTAGTAGTAAGGCCAGGAGCCCCTAGTAGCGTCCTTGCTCCTAGTAACGATGCCAGGAGCCCCGCTTCTTGCTCCTAGTAGTAAGGCCAGGAGCCCCTAGTAGCGTCCTTGCTCCTAGTAGCGATGCCAGGAGCCCCTAGTAGCTTCTTGTTCCAGGAGCCCCTAGTAGCGTCCTTGCTCCTAGTAGCGATGCCAGGATCCTCTAGTAGCTTCTTGTTCCTGGTACTGAGGCCAGGAGCCCGTAGTAGCATCCTTGCTCCTAGTAACGATGCCAGGATCACCTAGTAGCTTCTTGTTCCTAGTAGTAAGGCCAGGAGCCCCTAGTAGCGTCCTTGCACCTAGTAGCGATGCCAGAAGCCCCTAGTAGCTTCTTGTTCCTAATACTAAGGTCAGGAGCCCCTAGTAGCGTCCTTGCTCCTAGTAGCGATGCCAGGA